GTACGAAAAGTGCCAAATGGTATTAAATTTTGTATTGAGTATAGGAATCGAGCTGAAATCATAAAATTTATATTGAGGTTCCTGTTAGTGGTATGTTTGTGATTAAGAGGTGGTTTGGGAAATGTGTACTGCAAGTGCACGAAAAGTATTAAATAGTACTATATTTGATACAATTTGATATTGGGTGAACATAGACAGCTTGAAATATGAAATTTGGTATAAGGTTCAGTGGTTGTCCGGAAATGTACGAATAGTACTAAATGGTACTACATTTGGTATTCAGAGATGGATAGGGCTGGAGGTGATTTTGGAAATACGTACTATAGTTGTACGAAAAGTACTAAATAATAATAAATTTTGTATTGGGTGAAGGGATAGAACTCAAGCCGTGAAGTTTAATATTGTTATAACTGTTATTATCTGGGATTGATATATGGAACGGTTCTGTAAACAAATACTAAACTTATATGAAAAGTAATACATGTTACTACATTTTGTATTGAGTGATATATGGAGCTGGAATCTCGAAATTTGACACTTAGGTCTCTGTTGGAACATGGTGTTGAGATCTGATGGTGGTTTTGTTCGGGAAGTACTAAATGTTGGAACATGGTGTTGAGATCTGTTGGAACATGGTGTTGAGATCTGATGGTGGTTTTGTTCGAGAAGTGCTAAATGGCACAATTTTGGATTTAGGATGGAGAGACGGAGACTGTTTTGGATGTTACTAAATTTGGTATTGAGTGAAGGGAAAGGTCTGAAATTTCATGGAGACAAACAAAATTCACTCTATTTGGACTGATATAAGGCATTATTTGGGCAATAAATCTGAAACCGGGATAAGGATATATAGGAGCTATATCCAAATCTTAGCAAATCTCGATAAAATTTGGCAAAGGTATTTCCGAGCTCAATAAGATATCTTGTCTCAAATATCATTGTTGTCGAATGCATATTACCAATGTGAGGGACTTAAATACCAAATCGGATGAAACATATATATGGAAGCTAAAGCTATATCTGAATCACCAATTTTGCATTTGCTTCTATACTTCATCGGTCGGATGTACCAAAATTCCGGTCTTTAGGACTGATATTGGTCATTTAGTGCACAATTAGCCCGAAATCGGTTAAAGATATATATGGGAGCTATATCCAAATCTGAACCGATCTAGATAAAGTTTGACAGAGGTATTTCTGTCCTGTATTTGGTGCCAGATATCAAATACAGGACAGAAATACCAAATCGGATGAAACATATGTATGGGAGCTATAGCTGTATCTGAACCGATTTTCTAGAAATTTGATGCACTTGATGCACATGTGCCGAAATTCAGGTCATTTGGACCGATGTTGGCCATTTAGTGCACAATTAGCCCGAAATCTTCAACAGATTTCGTTGAGCTATATTTAAATTAAAATCGATTCTCACCAATTTCAACCTGCATTTTGTTCACAAGAATACATGGACAGACGGACTGATATGCATAAATCGACGCAGAAAGAGATTCTGTGAAGATCCTCAAAAATATGGATCTATCTCACTTCCTTCTCCATGTAACAAACAATTGATTAAAAAACACGTGAAAACAAGTAAAAACGAATAATACCTTTTACCGTTTGGAAAGAAATTGAAAACTTTCAAAAAACTTCCGGAAACTACCACTTAAATAAAAACTGTTATATGGAGACTATACGATGACGTGGACCTGCTTAAGATTTTTTTTGTCATAGACTGTAATGTCGCGTCAATCCTAAAAATACCGAGTATTGGGAGGTACCGTCATATGGGGCTATACGAAGACGTGGGCCTGCATACAAAAATGTTTGTCATAGGCTGAAGTATTCATTGCGAATTTCAAATACCAAATTTGAAATGATTCAGGTAAATAATATCGCTAAAATCATCAAAATACCGAATATCCGGAGCTACCGTTATATGAGGGCTATACGAAGTCGTGGACCTGCATACAAAAATGTTTGTCATCGGCTGAAGTATTCATTGCGAATTTCAAATACCAAATTTGAAATAGTTCCGTTTAATCATGTCACTAAAATCATCAAAATACCCAATATCGGGAGGTGCCGTAATATGGGCTGTATACGAAGGCGTGGTTCTGCACGGACAACTTTTTGTCATAGGATGTCGTATTCATTACGAACTTCAAATACAAAATTTGAAACATTTTCGGTGAATAATGTCGCTTAAATTACCAAAAAACCGAAAATAGCGAAATGGGCATATAGGTCCACGCTTTGCTATAGACCCCATATAATGGGTCTATACCAAAACGTGGACCTACATGCCCCATTTCAATACCAAAAGTCCTGCAGACATAATATACATTTGAGTAACATTTTATCAACCTACTTCATTTCGTTCGAAAGCTAGAGTGATTTCCACAGACGGGCAGACGGACGTGCATCGCTAAATCGACATAGAATTTTATGCTGATCAAGAATATATATACTTTGTGGGGTCTAAAATGTATATTTCGAGGTGTTACAAACGGAATGACAAAGTTAATATAACCTATATACTATGGTGGAGGGTATAAAAAGGTGTAACACGAGGTAGAAGACACTTCGTACTACTTTAATAATCCCTCCTCTTTTAAAGTGTCTCTTATGGGCCATAGAAAGTGAGAACAGACACTTTCTATGGCCCATAAGAGACGATCAAAGTTTGATAAAAACAAGTAAGCAAAGGCTACAGTCGAGCGGGGCCGACCGTTGAATACCTTACAACACTATAATAAACGATAGAGATTATATAGGCGAGATACTCGAAAGAATTCCACAAGACATTGTGACAAATAATAAAAGAAAACCATCAGGTTCCGTTCTCTAATTTTCTAATAATAGCACATTATACTAATTTGCTCATTTCCAATTTATTGGTAGATTTTGCACGTAAATGGTCTTCCTAGATCTGGAACCAATATTTCCCAAAGACCTATAATCTCTCAGAAGTGGGAAAAGATTAACATTTATAATTGGTTTTTGACTGAAACGCATCTATATGAGATACAGACATTTGACTATATTCTCCAACAAAAGTTGGCAAACTATTTCACACATTGAATATTTTTGGATGGCCATCCAAAACTGCTCGGCTTTTGTAATGTCCCGTAACCCCCATTCAAATGTGCGTGAGGATCGGGCGATATTTACGACCTGCTGACAATTTTGCAGTTTTTTGGTCCATTTCAACCCTTAAATATATGGCGATCATCTCCAAAAAGAGTAGGCTTCTTTTCGGACCCTCATCTTATCCCCATGCAAAATTTCGTAAGGATCGGGGCATAAATGCGATCTGTATATGATATCCTGATATCCTAACTACTTAGTTTTGTTAGCTGTAGAAATATTACCAAATGTTTAATTCAAAATGAAAATATGCCAAAAATATGAAAAAATTGAAAAAATATGAGAAAATGTTACAAAACCAATATTTTCATCTTTAGAGAGATATTTTTATGCGATTTTTTAGACGTTTTGTGTTTCCTGCCAAGAGGCCATTCTGAATTAATGAGAACTGTCGAAATCAGTTCAGCCGTTCTCGACATATAAGAGATCTTTCAAGCATATCTTTTTTGATAGACATATATATCGCACATATTTTGCTATATATCCGATTTGTTGGATGTTAACATCAATGTAAAGGTCAGAAGTAACCTTGTGATGGCTTTGTGATTTCCCCGGGATTTAAAATATTCACGGTTTAATGAAAAATTTTGATTTTTTTCAACACAAAAGATATGGTCTATTTTACCCGCTAAATACTATCCGATGACCACCCAAATTGGTAGGCTTCTTCCCCGCCCTAAACTCTATCTACATGCGAAATTTCGTCGATTGGTCTATAATTGCGACCTGTATAGCTACTGCAAATTCCGACATTTTTTCAGTATTTGGTCCATTCCAACCCCTAAACATGTGGCGATCATCTCCAAAAGAAATAGGCTTCTATTCTGACCCTAACCCCACCTTCGTGCAAAATTACGTAAGGATCGGGCCATAATTGCGACCTGTAGCGTGATTACAAATTAACATGGACAGACGGAAGGACGGACATACACATACAGCTCGCCGAGCTAGGAAGATTCACATATACTTTCCTATATGGGAAACCAATATTTCGAGGTGTTACATAAATTCTGGCCGAATCAAACTTATAATACCCCCAACACATAGTGTTGTAGGGTATAATTATTTCAATGTGAAAAGTTTGAATCTAATCAGCTACTCCCTTTGAGAATTGGTGGTATCTATGATATAATACTGATTTTGCAATATTGAGCCGATCCTGTATCAGTTTTATTATTTCCTCTGTTTACTAAATATATTTCATAGTTCATAAATTCAAAAAAAAAAAAAAAAAAAAAAAATAATAAAAAAGTAAATAGTTTTAAAAATTCCATTATCACACTCTGAATCCCGCATATGAAAAAAACCAACAACGACCAGCCGATTGTCTGCCTTTCATAACTTTTGGTTGTGGATGCCACAAGGACCTAAGTAAGTCATTGTTATAATTTTTTTTTGTTATAAAAAATTCTTTGAAATGTTTGCACAATATCATAAATAACCCTTTATCCTTTTATGGCAAGGATGTTGATGATACTGGCACTTGAAATACACACCCGTAATACTTGGACAAAACAAAGATTATAAATCATAACTGGGGGTCCCTTGACACGAAAACACACACAGACGCACGCAAAAAAAGAGAGCAAAAAACCGACATATCAAAAGTTTTCAAGCCCTTGGGATAATCTAAACAATAACAATAACTATTGTCAGTCAGTCTGTCTTTCTGCCTGTCTGTCATGTGGTTGTTATTGTGTGAAGTGGGCACTTTTATGGGCAATTTCTCTCAGCTGGATATTTGGTTAAATTGACTGACCGCCCGACTATTGGCCTGGTCAGGCAAATTTATGCTAAATAATGCGTTACAATGAGGGACGTTTTGTTGTTGTTCTTGTTGTCATACTTACAGTCTTGCCAATTGCAGGCGCTCATGTGTGGGTAAATTTTCAACAGTTTGCATTTCCGCCACCAAATCGGCATGCTCCATTTTCAGCTGGGCCTTGAGGGCTTCATCCGATTTGCGATTAATTAATATGCCTTTGACCATGATGAGGCTGTGGCTGCTGCTGCTGCTCGTGTGTGTGTGAACGTCGATGTGTTGCGTTTTCGAATGTTTTTTTTTTCGGAAGTTACGTGGGTGGTTGGGGCTTCAAGGTCGCTCAGTTAGTCATGCCAGCCACCCCGTTAAAAAATATTAAACAAAAAATGATATGTTTTGTTTTTGTGTTTCGTTTTCATTTGCTCTTTGGCATTTTCACTTTAAGTCATTGTATCTCTCAAGGATTTCGTTTAAGTTTCTTCTTATTCAGACTGCAAAGAAAGTAAGAAAAAGAAAATTATTAAGTTGGGAAATTTTATTTCATGCTTTAAAAAATAATTATAGTTTATTGTATGCCAAGATATATCCTTCCTGACGCAGAGTTTTTTGCTTTTTTTAATAATCTCCTTATGGATATTTTATCTCGTTCAAAGGGGGGATAAAAAAATGTAAATGAAGGTTCGTTTTTCTTTTTTGATTTTGGGAGCTCGTTTTACAGCTACCTGCTGCTGCCACCACTGACTGGTAATGGTGATGAGCATTATGATCATTTTTATGAATGAACTCAAAGCAATTTTACGCATTGTTTGGTAACTATGTTCGTACCGGTGTGCCCGTTTCCCTTTTATCCCAGTGAAAAGGAGAAGCAATTTGAAGTTATTTAGCTTTGATTGCGAACACACATATATTAAGTTACGCTCGAGAAAAAAGCGTATTTTTTAAATGAAGTGGATCGGAATGCGTTCAATTAGAGTTGGCTACAGCAAGAATGAATATACTAACATTGTTCCTATTTTGACGGTCTCTCTTTTTCTCTTCCTGGGAAAAAATTCAATATTTAGATTTGTTACATTTTTTTCGTAGAAAAGATATCCTTGACTTATAAAAAATGTTTTTCAAGAACCAACACAGTGATAGTCGTGATTTTTTTTATGGATTCATAAAAAATATTTTCAGGGACCATCCTATTTTAAGGTTTGATTTTATTGACTTGTTTTCAAGGACCAAATTAGACCAAACAGTGGATTTTTAAAAGAATATTTTTCAGGGAATAAGTGAGCCATAATCGTAGATTTTTTGAAGAATGTTATTCAAGCACCACATAAGATGTAATTGTGGATTTTTATTACCTCAGCCATATGGCTAGAGAGGGTAAACAGGGTGAGATGAAAAACTGCAACCAACTTCAGACTGCTATCATTTCCAATCCACTCATCCGACAGCTATTAAAAATATTCCGGTGACAGCTCATTATATTGTGTACAAGCGTACAAAAGCATTTTGGTGAGATTTTTCCGGAAAAAAAATTATTCGTTATAGAATACCAGCATGATAGTGTGATTTCTTTATATTTGGCTGGATAACCACAAGTGGCTTTCGTTGGAGCACTCCAGCGTTTGAATGTGAATAAATCTTTTGTGTTTCGTAAAATGGCTCGTGAGCTGAAAATATCGCAATATTCCATTCGGCCAATATTGAAAAATGAGCTAGGGGAAAAGCCATTGAAATTCCAATAAGTGCAAGAACTTACACCGCAACAGAAAGAAAATAGACTCAAAAGAGGCCAAGAGTTGCTTCGCTTGGTCAAAAGTGGTGAACTGCCGAATTTGTTTTTCTCCGATGAGAAAACATTCGTTGTTCAGCAGTTTATAAACAAAGAAAATGATCGTGTTTACCTGCAAAGAGGTCAGCTGAAAATGTGCACCTTCGGTTGGCCATCAGAACTCAAGCGCCGGCCATGGTGATGGTGTGGGTCGCCATAACAGCTGATTGTCGTTCTCCGCTCGTATTAATCGACCGAATATTATCGCGAAAATATTCTGGAGGAGTGTATAAAAGCCTTAGTCACGCAAACATTTTGGCCGCAGACCTTGGACATCCCAACAGGACTCAATAGCATCGTTACAAAATGAGATTCCTCGCTTTATTTCCAGCGCACGATGGTCACCAAAATCTCCTGATCCCAATCCGTTGTCTGGAGTATTTTGGAAAGCAAGGTTGGCACCAAAAATACCAAAGTGTCGATCACCTCAAGCAAGCACTTCGCCGGGAATGAGCCAAAATACCGCAGAGCAACATTCGTACAGCGTGTGGCGGTTTCATTGGCCGTTTGAAGGCCATCATTCGTGCCAAAGGTGACATATCTAAACTTATTCTAAAATTTGATGCTATTTTCGACATTTTTTGCTTTTATTCAATAAAATTTAGAAAAATGTTAAAATTATGGCGATTGACTTTGTTGCTGTTTTTTTATCTCACCCTGTATATCACTTGATACGGACAAAACGTGCTTCAACGGTTTTAGACCCTAGGTCTCTTTGGACCAAATCCGTTTGAGGACATTTGGAGTCGATCTAGCGATGTCCGTGCGCCCGCCTGTCTGTCTGGCTGGTGCACACGATAATTCTGGAGTATCTGATTTGGTTCTCTTAATAGACAATCATAACCATATTTCGTTTTTTGAGTGTATCTTTTTCAGGGTATTTTTTTTTTCCTAAATCTAATACAGACGGCACAGGATACGACCTCAGGGTATAATGTAATGCTGCAGTGAAAGTAATACTTTCGCACACACACACAGACATACAATTTGTTCGTTTCTGTGTTATGTTCTGTTTTGTAGTTTTTCCTGTGGGGAAATTGTAACGGAGATATTAACAATGGAACGTGTCCTTTTCCTCTCATCGTCAGTTTTTTTTTGGTATGTTGTAGGAACTTTGGCAGTAGTAGCTGAAGCATCATCACCATGAACGCCAACAGCTGGGGCTGTAACTGGCTGGTTGGCCAACAAAAAAATGAAAAAAAAAATCATGCTGAAAGATAGTTTTTAAACTATTCGCTTTTCCCATACAAAGGTTGTTGGGTTGAAGTTTTCCCAGAGTATTTTTAGAGAGCATAAAAAACGTGAGGTATACTTTTAGGGTGAACCGGCAAAGTGCATATATTAAAAAGCAAACGGCAAAGAATGTTAGGTAAAGGGGAAAATATGCAAATAAATCATAACGTGATAAAATTCTTGAGTATGCCTCTGCATTGCCATGGGAATGGCAAACATTTAGCTTTTTCCTAAGAAATAGTTCTCTGCTGACAACAACGAATCATTTCCACTTTTTCGTTTTGCAGATTTATGAGTAAATAATAATGTTTTATGAGGAATAAAATTGAATTTTAGATGCAAAACATGAAGGCATAATTGGATTATACGGAATATGGCGGCGGGGTGGGGGACAGGAGGTAGTGTAGTTTGGGGAAAAGTGAAAGGAGTATACTCATATCCTTGCAAACTTTGCAAGTTTGAGCGTATCAGTCGATTTAATTGACAGTGGTATACTACTACCGTAAACACACTGAACACAAATTTAAACGTGTCGGACCATTTCGAAATTTTATAGCCACATTTTCCCAATGAAAATATCTGTAAAATTGTTATTATAGTTACGACATTTTTTTGACTAAAAGAATAGACCGAAAAGGTTCGCAGTTAAAATGTATCTCACTTTGGGTATGTCAGGAACTTCCTTGCGTGTACTCTCAATAGGCAGACGAGCTCTAGGGCATTGCTGGATCGACATAAAGCGTCTTTCCTCCAAACAAATGTGGGTGTGATTATTTAATTTCGATAAAACACGTTTTCGGCTCATAACCCTCTTATAGTAATTAGTTTGAGGTTATAGATAATGAGTAGAGGTGTCAGATATAGTGTATGAAGAATTATATAACTATGTTCAAAGTTGAGAAGGAAATCCTCTTAGCTAAATACAAGATTCACGATATATCGATGAGTTTTCTACGGTCGCTGGGATATATAGTCCTGGGTGTAGAGTTCGTCACAGAAAATTTATATTGAAGTAAATGAGAGTGATACAGGCAGTTATTCGTTTACAAATTCATTAAATTTTACCTGACAGGGAACACAATCAAGTACTTGATTTATATTAATTGCGTCTGTAGGCTGGTACGCCTTGCTGTTCCAGTGGCTTACTGCTTTCACGAAGGTTGCTTCACTGCTGTTTGACTTGTCGTATGTTGTGTGGTTTTTGAGCTAGTACGGGGTAATACTTCGGTTGGGGCCCCGTGAGAGGAAACGTATGTCAGCCTAAGCCCCATGATGGCAAAGGCCGACGACAGCGATCAATTCGAGTCAAATTAAGGTTTTATTACTTTTTTATATCAAATGGCCACAATGATTTTTTGATCCGGTTTTAAGTTCGATTTTTCACTTGTTACTTTTAGTATCAAAGGCCCACGATGATACTTTGTTTGGTTTTGAGTTTAAAACTTCCCCACTTTGATATCAAAGGTTCATGACGGCATTTTTATTTGTTTTGAAATTAAAACTTTCATAATTTTTGAATGTAAGGACCGCGATGACTTTTTGAATCGTTTCGACTTTATCGCTTTGCTTTTAGTGTCAGATGCCAACGACGGCACTTTGATTTGGCATGCATTTTGATCGTTTTCGATTCGGTTCGTGATAAATTAAGTTTTTATTACTTTTTAATATCAAAGGACCACGGCCATGACGATTTGTCACTTGTAATATCGAAGGGACACGACACCGATTAATTCGAGTCAAATTAAGTTTTTATTACTTTCTAATATCAAAGGATTATGACGACTCTTTGATCTGGATTCAATTTAGATTTTTTGCACTTGTAATATCGAAGGCCACATCGACACTTTGATCCGGCTTCAATTGTGATTTTTCTGAGCATTAGTGTCAAAGGTCCACGATGTTTCTTTAATTCGCTTTTAATTAAGAACTTCCTTACTTTAATATCAAAAGACCACGATCGCACTTTTAATCGTTTTGAACTTAAAACTTTCACAATTTTTGTATCAAAGGACCAAGACTGTTATTTAAGTCGTTACGATTTTATCGCTTCGGTTCGCCCACGACGGCATCTTGATTCGCAATGCATTTTGATCGTTTTCTCAAGGGGTTATTACTTTGAGTCAAATTAGGGGTTATTACTTTTTAATATCGCAGATCCGCGACGGCACATTGATCCCCATCAAACTTTTTCACTTTAATATCAAAGGTCCACGGCGGCACATGTATTTGTTTTGAGATAAAAACGTTTACAAGTTTAGTATCAAATTCCCACGACGGAACTTTAATTCGGCATGGATTTCGATCGTTTTCTCACCGATATTATTTACGGTCCACCACGGTACTTCGATTTGATTTAAAGAATTTTTTTTTTACTTTTTAATATCAAATGTCCATAATGATTTGTTGATCTGGCTTCAATTTCGATCTTCCTCACTT